CATGATTTAAAGATCATTTTATGAAATCAAGACCTAAAAACATGCCAATTGTTCACAACTTCAACTTAAACTTTATGGATGTTCCAAAAACATGACATGCATGAAATGATTTGAGTTTCAAGTCTCCAAATAATGATCAAATGGAATGAGAGGATGTAAAACATGATGAATTCTCAAAACATAGGTGAGATGAACACATGCATGAAAGAATTCTTTGAAATCATGCCCAATTTGTGAAGAAAGGAACATGCATGCATGGTATGGCTCAATTCTACTCAATTCTAGTGTAATTCCTTCATGAATTCACCTAATTCACTTGAAGTCTTGTAGAGTCTAGTTCAATTACACAATTAAGAGCTTGATTCCTTACCTAGAGACTTGAATTCACAAGAGTTGAAGTTGAAACTCTCAAATCTTCTTCAAATGTCAACAATTCTTAACAATCCCTTGGTTTGAGTTCAATTTCCTTCCCTCTCTCTCTCTTCATCATGTTCTTGGGCATCAATTTGAGGTAATGAGAGTAAAAAAAAATAAACTAGTGAAGTCAAGTAGGCCTTAGATAGGCTTGGATAAAAGTGTAATTAATTAAGGTTAATTTAGTGGACGTTAATTTAATCTAATTTAATTGTTCCAAATCGAATTTTAATTAAACTTACCATAAAATTCTATAAATTCCAATTGACATATAAATCAAGTCAATTTCTGAATTGGATGCCGATAAGGCCTTCAATTTGCAAATCGAAACTAAAACACGAATAGATCTTTCTACGTCAAACAGATATAAACACAAAATGATGCAATGCACATATAATTAACTCAAGATTCCTTCTTAATTACTTATTTGGCATACTTAAACATGAATTAGCGTTAATCATAGGTCAGGGTTGTTACACAAGCCAATTCGGGGAACACTGAATGTCCCCTTCATTCGGAAGGAAGAAGATTTTCCCTTTTGCGGCTTTCCTAAGCCCTGGATAAATTCTATAAAGCAGCGTGTTCCTAGGTTTGAAATCTTCTTCGACCTACAGTTACAAGATAGTGATGCTGAGGAAAAGGTTGAACCAAGTACCAAAGCTGAACAGAGCATGGAAAGTGACCCGGACAACAATAAGCTTGAAGTAGGGGTAGCACTGGCATGTCTCCTTACAGATCCTGCGGCTAACTCAGAGAACTTGGGGGATAACTTTACCATCTCCATGATCGGGGAAGAACCGGGTGTAAACCCATCTAGCAGGATTTTGGATGCATCGGAAGCACCATCTCTTATCTGGTAGTTTGAGGAGGGCTACCTGTCTAGTTCTGAGTCAGGTGATGAGCTAGAATCTGATTCTACCGAGTCTGTGGAGTTGGAATCAGATTCCGGTTCTTCTGAGTCTGAGTCCGAGTCCGGTATTCCCGAGGGTGATAACCCGAATGCCAGAGTCTTGTCCAAGTCCTCTTTTTCTTTTGTTTTTGAATCTGTTGTAACCAAAGATCTGGATCTTATGAATGAGAACGCTGCTGATTCTGAGTATTTCTCTGTGCCGCTTGTTTATTGTATTGACCAAGATTTTTAGAATTTTAATGAAAATGAAGAGGAAGGAATTCCTCTGGTTTTGCAAAACTTGATTAATTGAGAGGATGAGAGGTTCGCAAAACCCTATGCTGGTGAAATCATTGCTATTAATGTGGGTACTAAGAAGGATCCGCGTCTGGTCCAGATCTGATCCACGTTGTCTTCGGAAGAGTGCGAGCGCTTAGTCGCTTTATTAAAAGATTTCAAAGACATTTTCGCCTGGTCCTATGAAGACATGCTTGGAATCGATCTCGAGATTATACAGCATCAGATCCCTCTTGACCCCGAGGCCCGACCCGTCAAGCAGAAGTTATGCAAAATCTGCCCGGATTGGGCATTGAAAATAAAAGAAAGCAGATCGAGGCAGGTTTCTGGTTAGTATGTGAATATCCAACTTTGTTGGCTAACATCATCCCAGTGCCGAAAAAGGATGGTAGAATTTGGGTATGTGTGGACTTCAGGGATTTGAACAAAGCCAGTCCAAATGATGACTTTCCTCTGCCGCACATTGATGAGTTGATGGATTTCACTACGGGTCATGCATTGCTATCCTTCATGGATAGGTTTTTCGGGTATAACCAGATTCTGATGGCGCTCGAGGACAGAAAGAAAATTGCATTTACTATGTCGTGGGGTACCTACTGCTACCGGGTTATGCTGTTTAGGCTGAAGAATACCGGGGCTACCTATCAGAGGGTTGTAACCACCATTCTGCATGATATGATCGCCAAAGAGGTCGAGGTGTATGTGAACGACATGATTATCAAGTCCAAAGAAAGATAGGGACACTAAACCGCCTTGGAGAAATTCTTTCAATGGATTAGAGAATACAGGTTGAGATTGAACCTGTAAAAATTCACTTTTGGCGTAATAGCAAGAAAAATGCTAGGCTTTTTGATCACACAGAGGGGCATCGAAGTAGATCCTTTCAAAATCAAGGCCATCCTAGAAATGCCACCTCCAAGGACTGAAAAGAAGGTGCGAGGCTTTCTGGGTAAAGTGCAATTCATAAGACAGTTTATTTCTAAATTAATCTTGACTTGTGAACCACTATTTGGTCTCCTGAAGAAAGGGAAAAACTTTCAATGGGATGATCGATGTCAATTCGCCTTTGAGCAAATTAAGCAGTACCTTCAGAATCCGCCTGTGTTGTGGTCACCAAAGCTGGAGAAGCCTTTGATTCTGTATTTGTTAGTGACAGACACGACTATAGGATGCATGTTCGCCTAGAAATCTGAAGATAGGGTGGAGAAAGCCATCTATTACTTGAGAAAAAAAATGTTGAATTATGAGACCCGCTATACTACGTTGGAGAAAGCTTGCCTAGCCTTGGTAAGGGCTACCAGGAAGTTAAGGCACTACTTGTTAGCTCACTCTGTAATTCAGGTTTCGAGATTAGATCTCATCAAATATTCTTTGAGAAACCAGTGCTTAAGAGTAGGCTAGCTCGTTGGTTGCTTTTTCTCTCTAAATTTGATCTCAAGTATGTCACCTACAAGTCGATCAAGAGAAGAGCCATAGCGGAGTTCCTGGCAGACCACCCAGTAGAAGGGGATGAGGCGGTGGAATACTTGTTCCCAGATAAAGCTATTCTGGAAGTTGAGGAGGAGACTTGGACGATGTACTTTGATGGAGCTTCCAATCAATACGGTTATGGGATAAATTGTAGACACCCCATTTTTGACCGTCCTCAAGACTTGGACGTCACCGTTTGAACACCCGGTGATCATCCATGTTTGTGTTCGTCTTGAGTTTCCGAAGGTCTCAGCTTGCGCGCCTTACCTCAGGATCTCTCGACTCGACTGTTTAGTGTCTGGTTTTGCACCAAACACTTGTGTTTTGCCTTGGAGGGGCATGGAATGCCTTGTGAGGCATCCCCACACATCACCGGCCATGGCCAGAGGCCACCGGCTGGTGTTTTGTTGCCATCGGCAATGTGTACTGCCGGTCAGCACTATTTGTTGCCGGTCGGCAGTCCATTTTGTCAAAA